TGAGCACAGTTACAATAATGAGACTAACTGATCATCTCTTCTCATAAATGACCAGTTCATCTCATGTCAGTTCCTGGTTTGAAGAAGCTTCTGTAAGATGTTAGAGAAAGAACTGATGAGGGGAGAGGGAGAAGTGGAGTTGGACCTTCGTTGAGGGTTAATAAAGCACCCAGAAACAAACAACTTTAGTCCTGGCGCAGTGGCTCACACCTGTAATCCTAGCACTCTGGGAGGCCAAGGTGGGAGGCCAGGAGTTGAAGACCAGCCTCAGCAAGAGCGAGACCCCGTCTCTACTAAAAATAGAAAAATATAGCCAGGCGTGGCGGCTCACGCCTGTAGTCCCAGCTACTTTGGAGACTGAGGCAGGCGCATCACTTGAGCCCAGGAGTTTGAGGCTTCAGTGAGCTATGATGATTGCACTGCATTCTAGCCTGGGTGACAGAGTGAGACCTTGTCTCTAAAAATGAAACAAAACAAACAAACAAAAAACACTTTGGAAGAGTTTTATACCAATGAAAATTATATCCTGATTGTAAATACAGCTTTCAAGAAATAGCTTTGTGGCAAATGAGGGTAGCTGACAGCTTACTCAGTAAGGAGGAAAAATGAAGTATAGAACAGAATAAAGGAAAAGCCCAAGAGTAAACAACAAAGGCTGTTACAGGCCCCTGCACTTGTCAACATGGAGGAGCCTTTTTAATACATCATCCCAAGTGATTATTTAAATCTGTGATTCTAAATTACAAGAGCCCTTCCAGCTAACTGAAGCCAAAGATGCTGGACTGTTACAAAATGTCTAATTCCTCAATTGGCAGATTTCCATACCATTTTCTATACTTGGGTGTCTTCCCCAAATGGGAACTTACTCAAAATAAATTTTAGAAATGATGATAGAGGGAACTCAAAATTTCACAACTTAAGTATCAGGAAACTAGGCAGCTGTAAGAAATCTTTCAGTGTTTCTGACTGAAAAAAGTAGAAAACCAAATCAACTTCCTCTTTCATGTTCTCTTCATTATCAGCCTTAAAAGATGGGAGGCAATGTATATCTGTTATAGAAATAGTGGCTTAGAATGGCACCTTGCACACAGCAAATGCTCAGAAAATGGGATATGTGTTTTAACGGGCATTCTATCAGCCCTGTCTCCATACTTCATATTTTCACCTTGACTGACGCTCTCCCTCTTACAGCAACCACACAAGGCGGCTGGCTGTACATCTAGTGGAGGCTGGAGGGAGCCCTTTTGAAAAGTATTATTAGGGCACTTCCATATTAACCGACAAGCACTGGATAGCCCCCAAGGCAGTCACTGGAGCTGCTTAGACAGCAGCCAGTATAGATGTCATCTTAGCAGTTATTGGAGACCCTCCACTCCCACCCCCAAGCAGGAAGCAGTGCTGACAGGCACAGAAATTCATTTCCAGAAGGCACCTTAAGTGTCCAGCTTGATGGTGCATCTGCTCCTATATCCCAAGCAGTTAGCCACTTAGTTCAGATAATTACCAAGTGATTTAAAAACAATTACCTAGAGGCTGGGTGCAGTGGCTCACACCTGTAATATCAGCACTCTGGGAAGCTGAGAGGAGAGGCTAAGGTGAGACCAGCCTGAGCAAGAGCAAGACCCCCGTATCTACTAAAAATAGAAAAATTAGCCAGGTGCGGTAGTATGTGCCTGTAGTCCCAGTTACTCTAAGGCTGAGGCAGGAGGATTGCTTGAGCCCAGGAGTTTGAGGTTGTAGTGAGCTGTGATGACGCCACTGCACTCTAGCTGAGGCGACAAAACAAGACTTGGTCTCAAAAAAAAAAAGAAAAGAAAAAGAAAAAAATTACCTCGTGATTCTGTTTTTAAAATGTTTATTAAATGATAAATTAGTTTCTTTGCTTTTAAGTGCAAATGGTCCCCAACTTATAATGGTCTGATTTAGTATTTTTCAATTTTGCCATGATGCAGAAGCAAAATACATTTAGTAGAGACCCTACTTCAAGTACCCATATAACCATTCTGTTTTTCCCTTTCAGTAAAGTATGTAATAAATTACATAAAATATTCAACACTTCATTATAAAATACACCTTGTTAGATGATTTTGCCCAACTGTAGGCTAATGTAAGTGTTCTGAGCATGTTTAAGTTAGGTTAGGCTAAGTTATAATGTTCTATAGGTTAAGCATATTAAATCTATTTCCAACTTATAATATTTTCAACTTATGATTTGGTTTATTGGGACATAATCACATTGTAAGTAAAGCAGCATCTGTAATAGAGTACCTGCTACAGGTCCAAAGGTGGACAAGTGGGAAAAGCCAGGAAACATACTTACTACTCCCAACGGTGCCACTTAACCAGGCCTGTGACCTTGGACAAGTCCCCGAACCTCTTTTTCTATATCTGTCCCTGCCTATCCTTTAGGGACCACAAGAGGTTCAAATCAAATCAGAGTTCATGAAGGCTTCAGAGTCCTGAACAAATGAAAGGTGTTAGCATCACCATTGCTAGGAAGAGCCCAGGAAAGGTCTACAGCCGTCTCTGCTGTCCATGTGGCAATGATCAATGTTCCGACTAATGATTGTGGTGACCCTTCAATGTTAACACTAATCCATGTATCATTGAGATCATCAGTCTGAGTGAGCCGTAACAATGTTCTGTGCTGGGGGCATGTACACATTGTATTCTTATTTAGAAAATTAGCATAGGCTTGTATATGGATAATATGGTTTAACTTTGTTAAGTTACAACTCTATATATTTATGTGAACCAACCAGAATCTTGGATGCTTCAGCAATTTATTTCTGAATACAAATACTACAGATGGAACTAAAAGGCTTTGATAGTGACTGTTTCAAAAACCTGTGCTGGACCACTTTTCTGCTAAAAGGAAGCCATTGGAGGCGGGTGACATTGCAAAGTTTCCACATACCTTTGCAACATCAGTGACTCTAGGATGACGAGGGTCTTCTGGATGGGGCCAACTACCTTTGCAGGAGAAATCTTACCACTAACACATCAGCACCTCTCTTCCAGTGAGACAGTGCTGAGTGGAGATTCTCATTTCAAACACTAGTGCTGGGTAGCTTCACAGTCAACAAAGCCCCTCAAATCCCCCTTTTGGAAACCAGGACAGAAAGGGCCAGTAGGTTCTACATGCCTTAGAGACCAGTGCTGTCTCTTCATCTCTGTTATGTCCTCAGCTTTGCACAGGGCCAGGTCAGAGCAGGCCTTCCTTCTCCTTCCAGGTATTCTCGACTGAGCACCTACTATGTGGTAGATGCACAGATAGCACAGGGACTATTGTTTTGGACAGACCTATAAAGCTGTTTTCCCGGAGCTTCTATTGTAGCGGTGAATACAGACAGTAAACATGCAGACAGATCGTGATACAACTCTGGTCGCTGCTCTGAAGGAAATGAGGGCTGCATAAATGGCCCAAGTGGCTTATGCCAAATCACAGCTCTGGTAAATGGTGGAAGAGGCCAAAACTCAAGTTTCCTGTCTCCTACTTTCTCTTCTCCTACATCCGCTGCCCTCTACCCTTCACTTGGGAGGAGAGTCACACCATTTACATCCAGAGAGGCCCAGCCAGCAAAGGCTTCTGTGATCTAACTAAATTTCTTCAAGCCTCAACACGTTACTTCCTTACCTCCAAATGAGAATGGAGGGAATAGCTGGGTCCCACCCGCTACAGGAAAGCTCTCTCCTTAGGAAGGGCTTAGTCAGCACCCGCACACTTTCAGCGCCCGCTCCCCAGGGTGCCGCTTGAGGTGTTGGCTGCACAGAGACAACATCCCTACAGCGAGTGGGAGCGGACGACAAACCAGAAGTCAAACATCTTTATTGGCTAGTTCTTCGGGAGTCAGACTACCAGGCCCTGCTTTGGCACAGCAGATAGAATTAGTTGCAATAAATAACAATAACCACATCGTTTATGAAATGCTGGCCTAGTATGCACCAGGGGCTTTCTGTGTACTAACCAGCCCATGAAGTAGATACGCTCTCTCCAAGATGAGGGAACCCAAAGGGAGAATTTCAATAATGAGCCCCTTCGTACACAGCTAGAAAACTGCAAGGCCGGAATTCTGAGATGGCAAAGTTGAGTGGATTTGGGGTAATTAACACACACACACACACACACACACACACGCGTGCGCGCGCGCATATACAAAGAAATGAAGGCAGAACCACAGGTCTACCGGACAGGCGGGCTATTAGTGGGAACATTACAAATGCACAGCGTGGAGAAGATGCCACAGCCAGCCAAGATAACGTAGAAAGTGGGAACTGACGCCTACACCCTTCCCCCAAGGCGAAGGAAAGGCAACCCCTGAATTCTTAAAATAACTCTCGCTTCCTCTGGGCGGCCAAAGCACCGGACTGCTGCTCTGCAGGCCTGGAGGCGCCCGGCTCGGCGGGAGGGTGAGCGCCAGCCTCCGCAGCTGCCCCAGGACGTCACGCTCCTGCGTGGGGCCACCGAGGAGGGCGGCTGTCCCCGGGCCGAGCCCCACCGCCCGTCTCTGGGGATCCAGGGCCAACTGGGGAGACCGGATTGTGCAATCCGAGGAGTCCTCTCCAGGATCCCCGCCGTGCGTCCGCCCCGCGTAGGCAGGGGCTTTCCCGCTGGGCGCGGGGAGTGGCCGGAGCCGGGACAGCTGCTGGCCCTCAGGCTGGAGCCGGCAGGCACCGCCGTGCGCCCGTCCCGGCGCTCGCACCTCCCACCACCCCCCTGCGCTGCTCAGCTGCGGACACCTGCGGAGCCGCCCGCCCCCGCGCCCTGGCTCCCCCAGGCGAGGTCACCCACCGGCTGAAGGCTTCTGGGGTGCCCTCGCCGCCGGGGCTGGGCGCCGGTGCGGCCAGAAAGCGGCCCGCGACCCCTGCCGCGCTATGCCCCCCAACCCCGCTCCCTAGCCCTGCCTGCTCCCGGGACTCCAGCTGGTGGCTCGGCCGCAGACCCCGCACCATCCGCCCCGGCGCCCTCGCCCACCCCCGGGATCGTGCCGGGGACTCACCCGCTCGCAGTGAAAGTTTCGGGGCCGCGGCGGCGGAGCTCCACGGTGACCTGAGTTCAGAGGAGGGGCGCGACGGGGCAGCCCAGGGGACCCAGGTGGGGAGGGGCTGCGGGCTCGGGGCCCGGGTAGCGCGGCCGCCCCGCCTGCCGCGGGCTGGAGGCTGCAGCGCGTCGGGCCCGGAGGCACCACGGCCCGGAGGCACCACGGCCCGGGAGCGAGCTGCGGCGCGGCCCGGCGCGGCGGGAGAGGAACTGGCTGTCTCTGGGCTCGGCCGAGAGGTCTCAGCTACTTCCTGGTGCTCGGATTTGCATACTGCACCCGGAGGGCGGGGAAGTGACCGTTTGGTCCCTGCCCAAGGTTTGGGTGTTTGGTATGGCCGTCGCGCAGGGCTTTGAAGGCAGAGAAACTTGGCGCCTGAGAGCACAGGTTGGAAGAGTGGGTCAGCCTCGGGCCCAGCATTATCCTGTAGGGATGGACGGAAGGGTCTCCAGAGGAGCCTCTGCGTCGTAGGCTTATCGACCATCGACGACACCTCTGGCGTCTCCTTTCCTTTCCTTCCCTTCCGACCTACTCCAAGGCGTTAGGAAGTGAGGTGCCCCTGGGAGCAGAAGAGGTGCGCTCTGATCCCTTCCAACACTTGGAGGTCTCTAGGGAGAGCATGAGATGTGCCGAGTTGAAGCTCAGGGTCTCGTTGAGTTCTTAGTAATCAATACAGAGTAGGTTCCTTAAGGGTGACTGCTCAGGGCATTGGTGGGGGAGGTGGAAGGTGTGGCTGTGGCTGTCAATGGCCTGGCAAGTGCTCGGTTTCTCAAAGCCTCAGTTTCCTCCCAGGAAAATGGAGATATAAGGATGCCTACCTCGCATAATGGCTTTCTGTAGAGGGCTCACACTGCCTAGCGTGCAGGCATGGTGGCTGTTACTACTTCATTCCTACTGCTGCTGCACCCCTGCCTGTAGCACAGTGCTTGGCACATAGCAGGTGCCTAACCGGTGTTTGCTGAAAGAATGACTGACTGCATGTTCAAGCTCATGTTCCAACCCAATAAGTGACACTTACAAATCCAAGATACGAGATTAGTCACAGTCGCCCTGGACGCCCACTTGTTCTAAACCAGATTATGTTCACTGGGATTCCCAGCATTGCACTGCCTTGTAGAATTTACAAAGAAACAAATGGGGCACTGTAGGAGACTTGGTCTTTGCACTAATAACAGCAAACATTTACATAGGCCTGAGGGGCACCAGGCACTGCCCTAAGCACTTGCTTTCTTTCATTTCTGAAGAGTCTGGCCCCAGCTACAGTGCAACAGGTCAAAGCTGCCACCTTGTAACACAATCTGATACAACCGTCATTTGTTACCACTAAAGGAGTACTAAAGTTTACGAATTCCTTAAAAGAAAAAAAGTAGGGTGGTTTATACCTATGAGGTTCACTGGTAAGCAATTTGCTGCTGAAGAGGAGGGCGTGGGTTAGCCTTGGAAAACGGTGTGATTGACGTCAACTAAGAATCCTATGGAGTAATTCACTACCTGAGGGCCCATTTCCTGGACTTTTCTTCAGAATGACCTGTTGAATATACTGCCCTAAATTATCTACTATTGCCAAGGAGTCATTGATTGAGATCCTGGCTAAAGGTATGTGGCAAATAATAGGAAGCAAAATGTTTGGTGGTGGTTAATCCACTGAATGTCCCGTCAGTGCTTTTGATGTTTCTTGCAGTAAGGAACAAAGCATCCCCAGGCAGACCCGAGCTTGCATCCAGCTCTGCCACTTCTGACTCCTCATGCACAAGCATGCGGGCTAAGTCCATCTCTTTATTCTTATTTAGAAAAAACAAAAACCAAAAAACAATACTCTGCTTATTCCCACTCCTCAGGCTGTATTCACGTATCCTGAATATTTCCTCCACCCATTCTCCATCTCTGTCTGTCTTCCTTAAAGTCCTGTGAAAGTTCTATTATATTTCCCAGGAAAGTTTCATTCAAGCCCCCATGGGTAGCCACCTTTTCTAGGCATCTACAACACTTAAAGTGTGCTACAGTCATTTAAACTAGACCTAGGGACTGTTTAACAGGGTTTGTCTTTGTTTCTCATGTTAGATTTCTCTTCTCAATTACTGGTAAACAGTAAACTCCTTTTTGGAAGGCATTGCTTTTTATATTTATTTATTTCCCACTATACCTCCCAAAAGTTCTGTTGGGTGCTTTAAAATACTTCATTAGTATTGGTTGATTAGGTAATTAATTGATTGGCTGGTTTATCTCAACAATGTTCTCTAAATTGAGCACAGAATACTGTGATCAGAGGCAGGTTGCGAATCGACAAAGGCTCCCTTGATAGGGTGGGCAGCCCTTTGAAGAAAGAAAGGAATATGACCTGCAGGACAGAAGAAGGAAGTAGTGGGAATTCATTAACTATGTACAATGTATCCTCTTTTTCGCAGATACGGTATTTGTGAATTCATCTACTTGCTAAAATTTATTCGCGACCTCAAGCTCAATACTCAAGGTCCTTTCCCAGTCTTTTGCAGGCACATGCATCACAGAGCAGTGAGAATTTTACACCACCCAGAGCACTTCTTCCCAGCTGAGGTGGAACAAGCTCTAGACAGGCAATGCTCTGGCTTCTTGTTTCAGCTCTCATACTGTAAACGAGAGTCCTTTTTGCAGTCTATTTAGTATTTCCGCATTTTTGTGCCTTTTCTTGGCAATTTCACTGTTTATAATGGCCCCCAAGCATAGTGCCAACGTGCTGTCTGGTGTTCCTAAGCACAAGAGATTGTGATGTGCCTTAGGGAGAAATATGTGTTAGATAAGCTTCCTTCAGGCATGACTTACAGTGCTGTCGGCTGTGAGGTCAGTGTTAAGGAATCAGCAGTATGTTAAATAAGTTGCTGTTGAACAGAAACATATAAAACAAGGTTACATATAAATCAGTGGGTGAAAATGTTGTGGCCAGAGAGACTCACAGCCACCTAACCCTGTATTTTCCCCTAAGAGCAATGTTCAGTATTAGCTACTTCGGTATTCACAGTAACTTTGTAGAACATAACTACCTCGAATAATGAGAATTGACCATAATTAAGAACATCCCATCATCCACTGGTAGGAAAATAAAATGTCTGACCTCAAGGAAATTCTCCTTTAACACAGATCATCATCATCACCTGCTTGATCACAGCACGTACGGCTGGGATTGGTCATTCTCGGCTCAGCCTTTCATATCAGTCCACCAAATCCTCTGGTCTGCAGCCTATCCCACTGCCACTGTGTGGACTTTCCCTAGTGCCCTTTCTGCTTTTCTAGAAGCCACCGTCCAGGGGTTCAGACCATTTAGTCCAACTCAGGAACTCTTACGGGTTGTTTTGCAAGCCCCCTGGTGGGCTTTACCAGGAGTAGCCGAGTAGCCACTAAGATTCTCCATCTGACTCTTATAAACATGGCCACAGATGTAAGGCCCAAGTAGCAAATAACACAGAGCAGAGATGCTCAACCCTGCTGGCACATCACATTCACCTGAGCTGCTAAACTAGCCCTGTGCCCAGGCCCTACCTAGACCAGTTAAATCAAAGTCTCTAGAGAGCAAGGAACCCAATCACCAGAGACTTTAGAACTTGCCAGGTGGTTCCAATGAGCTGCCAAGATTGGGAATCACTGGTGGAGAGCCTCAACCAAACATCCTGGGAGAATGTGGGGCGTATTTACCAAACAAATGGGTTTCACCACTCTTCCTAATAAAGTAGAATACAATAGAAGCCCTCTCCTGTAAAGCACCAATTGATGAATCAAAAAAGTTGTTGGAAATGGGGAAATCCTAAAAATGATATAAATGTGCCTTAAACATTTTACTTGAACTTTTTTTTTTTTTTTTTGAAACAGAGTCTCACTCTTTTGCCCGGGCTAGAGTGAGTGCCGTGGCATCAGCCTAGCTCACAGCAACCTCAAACTCCTGGGCTCAAGCAATACTTCTGCCTCAGCCTCCCGAGTAGCTGGGACTACAGGCATGCGCCACCATGCCCGGCTAATTTTTTCTATATATTTTTAGTTGTCCAGATAATTTCTTTCTATTTTTAGTAGAGACAGGGTCTCGCTCTTGCCCAGGCTGGTTTCGAACTCCTGAGTTCAAACAATCCGCCCGCCTCGGCCTCCCAGAGAGCTAGGATTACAGGCGTGAGCCACCGCGGCCTTTACTTGAACTTTAACGGGTCAGGTACTTTCGTTTGGTGCGGATCTCTCAGGTAAAGCCAGGGCGTTCCCTCTGGGCATAGCTCTGCTTAGCATTCTGTTGTCATTTTTCTCTCCCAAGCAACACCCAGGAGACTTCATCTCTGGTTTCCCTTTACAGCTTTGCTGAAGCAGAGGAAGGGCCTGCAAAGCCATCTTCCTCTGTAATCTTATCTTTCACTGCTGCTTCCTCCACACCTCATTCAGCAGAATTATTTGCTTTTACCATTTTACCTGCGACTCTTTCCAAAGATTCAACTTAGTTTTACATAGGAACAACTTCCTCACTCATAGTTTTTAAGTTTGTATTTCATTAAATTGCCTATTTGCAATCCAGGCACAATAGACATAAAAACAACTAGCTTTTGGAAAACTATGTACGCGTTCCAGAGAGTAGAGGAGCCACCTTGCTGGAGGGAAGAAATAGCAATTTACAAAGGGGAAACAAATAGGAATGTTGCCTCAGCCAGGTTTGTTGGGAAGAGGTTGATTTCGGAAGCTCTTCTCACAACCACCTCCAACCAGCAACTGGGTGGGTGGTTTTATGTTAAATTCTCCTCAGCAGTCCTCACAAGCATTTTATTTCTTACACTTTATAGATAAGAAAACAGCCTCGAAGTGGGGAAATGACCTGCCAAGCCCACCTCCCTGAAGTGGACATGCTGGATTTTTACTACCTGTCTGACTGACATCAAAGCTCGTACCCTTGGATTACAAAGCCTTCTACACTGCGTGGCTTTCTCGGTCTGAAATACCTCAGAAACAGCACAGTGTTCCCAAAGTAAACAGGGTTAAATCCTAGCTGGCTGAGTCCTCAATTATTTTACATTATAAAGAAATAAGCCACCCGAACAATAAATTATTAACACGGAGTCACATAATAATAGTAATAACATCAATAACAATCAGAGCTTGAATCTTATAAAATTTACAACAAAGTTAATCTGTCATTCAACATACACAGAACTGTGCTACATGATAATTAGACCAAAATAGTAAACTATGCATTCACAATGGCCCGGTACAGTCAGATGAGGGGTTTCCAGACTCTACCGGG